TAGAGTCTGGAGCCCATGAATTTATCAGCATGCTCTACCTAATCTTCTAGTTGGACAGTGATAGAAATGGGATTCCTTTGGTGGGAGGGGAAGCTAGAACAGAGAGGGTCAGGACTTTGAGGACATTCAGATGGGCCAAGGTAAAGCAGAAGGTCCAGAAGTAGCAGCAGACCTCCCAGCTCTTTAGACAGGCAGGTAGAACAAGCATCTGGGTAACCAGGATGCAGCAGAAACTAGGAGGAAGCCCAGACAGGCAGGTGGTTGGCAGCAAGTATTTGGCAGCCGGCAACAGAGGCACTGCCATGGGACCTGGGCTTCCAGAGCAGGATGCCAGATGTCAAAAGGTCTGGCAAGAACTAGATGAAGCACTATTCCTGTGAAAGCTAAGGTGCCAGACAGGGCACCAAGATAGGACTCAGGAGCTGGGGGCATCAAAATAGGGGCTTAAGGCAGGGGCTTTTATACAACAAAAGAGAAAACAGCCCCGTTATTAGAGCTAGGGACCAACTCCATTCATTCACCCTTCCATCTATTCTTTCAACATCGTGGCTGGCTGGTTGCTCAGTTGGTTAGAGCACGGTGCCGCTAACAGCAAGGTCCAGGGTTTGATCCCTGTGCCAGCCACCAAAAATAAAAAATAAAAAATAAAAATAAGTAAAAACATAAATAAACAAAAAAGAGTTATCTGGGCCTGGCTAGTTAGCTCAGTTCGTTAGAGTGTGGTTTAACACCAAGGTCAAAGGTTCAGATCCTCATAACCAGCCAGCTGCAAAAAAAAAACGAAAACATTTTTTGAGCTCTTGCCATGCTCCAAACGCTAGACTAGGCTCTGGAGTAAGACACAGTCTAGTAGGGGAGCCAGGCCTATAGAACAGGTATCCACAATACTGTGAGATAAGTTCTATATTAAAGACACAAAGACTGGGTGGGTGTGGAAAAGGGGGCGGGGAAGACTAACCTTTTTTTTTTTTTTTTTTTTTAAAAAAGATGACCGGTAAGGGGATCTTAACCCTTGACTTGGTGTTGTCAGCACCACGCTCAGCCAGTGAGCGAACCGGCCATCCCTATATAGGGATCCGAACCCGGGGCCTTGGTGTTATCAACACCACACTCTCCCGAGTGAGCCACGGGCCGGCCCAAGAGTAACTTTTCTTTTCTTTTTTTTTTTTTCCTTTTTTGTCCTTTTTCGTGTCCGGCAACGGACCGCAACCCTCAGTGTCACGCCCGTACCGGATCGGGACTGGCAACGGGATCGCAACCCTCGGTGCTGAGCCCGCCCCTCGCTCAGCCAGTGAGCGGGAACCGGTCTGTATGTGGGATCTGAACCCTCGGCGGGAGCGCCACCGCACTCCCAAGCCACGCACTGTAGCAGTGCGCCACCGGGCCAGCCCAAGACTAACTTTTCTTGAGAGAGTTTGCATCGAATATTAACTCTGAGCTGGGTCTTTAGAGAAGAGGAGAAACTTCTCAGGCACAGAGTGGTGGGGAGGATTTCAGACAGAAGGAATAACATGGGCTAAGGAACAAAGTTTTGAAAGAATGGAACACATTTGGGCAACAGTAAGCAATTCATCCTGGACAACAGGTATATGGTAGGGAGGGGTGGGGAACATGAGCCTGAAGAAGACCCAGAGCCAGGTTATGACGGCTTTTGTGAGTGCTGCTGAACATCTGGGATATTCTCCCACAGGTAAAGAAGAGCAAGCTGTGGTCTTTATGTCGGCAAGTGACTGGCTGGCTTTGGGGTATTTTTGGAAGACCACAAGGGAAACAGTACCCGGATACCCTGGAGGCAGGCAGATCACTCAGGAGGTTATTGCAATTGTGCAGGCAAAAAAATGATGAGAGCTTGAACGAAGATAGTGGCAGAGAGGGTTAGTTCAGGAAAACATTTCTGAGGGAGAATTGACCAGACTCAGTGATCAATGTGGTCAGTGAGGGGGAGAAAGGAGTCATAAACCACTCGAAAAATTCTTGCTTGAGAAACTGGGTCTATCTGTGGAGGCATCATTCACATAGAAATTGGGAAGCTGGGGCGGGGAGCAGGTTTTACAGGGGGTGATAAGGAGCTCAGTTTGGGATATGTTGACTTGGAGGTGCCCAGTGGTGTGGCAGAACATGTTCAACTACTAGCTTTTGCTGGTGGGGGGAGCCTTGATTTACCAATTTCTGTGGTATAAATACTTCTGTCATGGTCAATTTCAAGGTTTCAATGTGATATCAACCCACTCACAAAATTCCTGAAAACTTAATACTCTGTCTCAGAGACCCATGGAAAGAACTGTGCCAGTACTTTGGAGCACAGGCTTCTGACAGCATTGTTTAAATAACTTTGATACCACACCACTGGAGTAAGTCGGGATTTCCAGAAATCCGGTAGAGAAGCTGATGGGTTCATAAAACTGCTAACCCAAGATCAAGCAGAACAAGAATTAATTACATGAAACTGAATGAACCAATGAAGGATTATTATAGATTTTGTTTAGAATATTGCTGCTTGATTTTTTTGTTGTTGCTGCTGTTCATTTTTCTATTTTGTTGCTGGATTTAAGGACTCCCTTTCTCTTTTCTCTTCAATTATATTATACTTTTGTACACAGAAATGAAACTTCTACCTTTCTACCTGCCTAATCTCTCCAGAATTTGAAAACTCTTACTGAGAATTATTATTTTCATGGCAATTGAGCATTCGCATGAGTTTAATAAGAATCTGTTCTTTTAACAGAACGTAATTGAGAAACATTGGTTTTATAACCAAGACTTTGACTGGAATGTCATATTTGAGAATGATGTGTGAGAATAAGTTATGACCAGACAGTCTTAAGGAACTAAGGTTGACTTTATGGACCAAATGCTTACAAAACACCCCTAAGAAAACTGGCCCAATACCTGGATTATGGGGTTCCCAGGCTTACAGGTGAGTAACAAGGTCACTTCCTGGCAGGCCCAGAAACCTTAGGATATTTTGGGGACCTTGAGAAGAGAGGAATTTACCCAAATCTATAGGTACCGCTGGTGAAATCTGGTGGCAAGTTTGTGGCTTTGCTTCCTAGCCGCCAGAAGGCTTTAAAAAGTCTAATCTGAGATTCCATATGAAAAATTCCAGCAAAGCAAACTGAAAAAAACCTATGTGGTCAATTACCATTCTTGCTGCACTTACGTAAACAATCAGGCCGAATCTAACAAGACCCGGCTTATTTTGTAAATAAGAATAACCTTACTTTGGTTATCTCTGATCAAAAAGGGTAGACTGTAGAGAGAAATTTTATGTTTCAATAGCACGCCCTTGTGGGTTATTAGATTCTAGTCCTGTTCGTTGTCTTTGAACTATTTTTGCCCTCTAGGCAAACTGCATTTTACTTTCTGCTTGGTCATCTACCTGTAAATTGGACTAGATCCTGTTGTCTTGCACATTTTGTCAGTCCTTACCAGATTCTCAATTCTTCTAGTTTCCTTCAGTATCTAGCTACAGCTCTCCAAACTGATGTTTCTAATTTTTCCCCCACCCTCCTGACTTGGTGCCACCGAGAACTAAATCCTGACTGCTCAAGACCTTATTGGAAGACTAGGTTGTCTTGTAGCTGACCTTTCCTCCAGGATCTAAAGAAGCCCTGCAAGCCAAAGCAAGACAACTTGATATAAACTTCAGAGGAGTCATCCCCACACCAGATCATTTGTAACCTTGTGCCTGCTGCTGTGTGGGCCACTCAGGAAATTCACCAGAACACCCACATCTTCCATGCTCTGCTCTGGGAAATAACCATGCAAACTGCAAACCAGAAAATCCCTAGGATTGCCACTGCTGTCCTCACTCCACCATCTACAGATGTTTCAATCCCAACATATAAAAATCTTCTCAACTGGTTGCCCTCTGGACTCAGAAACTGGGTTTATAGTCTGCTCCAATCATTAATCTTTGTTTTTCTCTTGTTTTCATAGAAATCCCCCTCATTAAATGCCTAATGGCTTGCAACATCCAGCAAATACTCTACTACCAAGTCTCAACATATGCTCAGCTGGTCCTTAATGAACGAAAGGCGACCGAATGAGAAATGGGCTTATATTCTTTGGAGGAGGAAAGAAAAATGTCTCTTCTTTCCTGGAACAAGAAGAGGGACTGACAAAGACTCTCTCCCTGACCAAACTTTAGTTAGGTTCATCTGAGCCCTCATTCCGACTAGACCTCAGCCTTGACCCTTGTCCTGTCTTTGGCCTGCTGAAACCAGTCTTAGCAGAGAATCCTGCTAAGTCCTCCTCCCCACCCTTTATATCTGATCACCCTTGATATCTGATCAAGTTCTTCATACCCCACCTTTGATGTCTAAATCCTTGGCCTGCCTTTATGAAGACTGTTAGGTCAGTTTAGCAAGAATCCCTCTACTCTTGATGTCTCCTCTCAGTAATTTTCCATCCACTGACTCCCTCACCTTGCCCCTTGGCTATAAATCCCCACTGTTCTTGTTATGTTCAGAGTTGAACACAGTCTCTCTATCCTATTGCAATCGTCTTCAGTAAAGTCTTCCTTACCATAAAAAAATTTTAAAAATGAACAGTGAGCTGCCAGTACAAGCTGACTCCGACACAGCAGTAGAGGTGCCTGAGGAACATGCAGGAGTTGTTTAGAAGGCCATTGAAAACACAGGTGTACAGCTAGCAAGGTCAGACCCGCTCTGCCCTTGCCCTGCCCCAGCTGTTCCTTCTGAAGAGCCTGCTCATGCACCTGCCCTCTTGGAATTGGCACCCTCAAGCCCTCCCCTGGAGACCCACGGGTCAGGATCAGGAATCTGCCCCCCACAAACTAATTGGATTGTGATTTAATCTTTTTTGCAATTCAATGCAAGAGTGTCTTGCTAGACTCTCCCAGCACAGTTCAGCTCATTTCTCACCTGGATACTCTGGCAATATTTCCCAAACTTTAGTCACTCAAGTATCACCTTCACAATTTTTGCTGGTGTGTGTGTGTGTGAGTGTGTGTGTGTGTGTGTGTGTGTGTGTGAGTGTGACCAGTAAGGGGATCCGAACCCTTGACTTTAGTGTTCTCAACACCATGCTCTAACCAACTGAGCCAACTGGCCAGCCATTTGCTGTATTTGTGTGACCATTTGTACTATTATTTACTTAATATTTTTCTTTCAATTGCCTTTAAATCAGCTCCTCCCCCCTTTTTGTAATTTTGCTTCTTCCCAAGCAACAATAGTTAAACTCACCCTAAAAAAAAATAACAAACCCATGAGGAATATGTCACACGAGAGACCAACATACTTTCTTTCAAGAAATTCAACATAATCCTCTTGAGACAGATTTCTGTTTATTAAGTTGAGCCCCTGATGAAGTCAAGGGTAATCAGTTAGGAGCCATGTTGTTGAAAAATCTGTAAATTCAAACCCCTCTTGGTGTCATTAGATTCCCATGGGATTGGAGATCAATTAGGAGAAAACAGCAGATCCACATTTCCTATGGTATCTTATTACAGGGAACATGTATATTGATTGAAATAGTGGTGGGGCGCGGGGGGTGCTGGGGAAGACCTGGACTATTTAAATGTTTCTCTCTCAAAATCTTTCAATGAGTTCATTCATCTCAGTTTTTTTTTAAATTTATTTTTTATTGAATCAAAATTGATTATACATATTTTTGGGGTTCAACATTGAGATATGTTGATCAAATCAATATTACTAGCATATATATTGTTACAAATCGTAATTATTCTTTATGCCCCTTGCCCAATCTCTCTCCATCTCCCTCTCCCTCACTCCTCCCCCCTCTAATTACCCTCGATTTCCCCCCTCTTTCTGAAAGAGTCATGGTTACTTTATTAATTTGTTGTGCGGATGATCCGTCCAATGCTGAGAGGTGTGATTGGGTCCCCCAATATTATCATAGAGCAGATGCTGCTTCTGTCACTCTGAAATGGGCTTTGTGGAGAGAGACATCCTCTTCTTTTCTTTATCTCTGTTGGTGACTCTCCTTGTGTCAATGCACTCCAGTGGTTGGCAGACCATCTGTGTGGTAGTTGTGGCGTCTAGCCACTTTTGTGGCAGCCATGGTTATTGTGGTGGCTGTGGTGGGCCACCCACATGGGGGTGATGTTTTTGGCATGCTCCTTAGTGCTGGCAGTGTGCCTGGTTGTGGGAGGGGGTCCAGTCCCTTTCTCCATGCCTCGGGTCCCCAGGTGGGCCCCATGGTGCTGGCATGGTGTGCTTGGATGTGGGAGAGGGGTCTGGTCCCCAGCTCCAAGCCTCTGGTTCCCAGGCAGGCCCCAATGTGCTGGTGGTGTGCCTGGGTGGGAACTAATTTTCGTCCTTTGCTTATTTCTAACATGGGGGAACTTCCTGTGGGTACCAGTACTTGAGCTCTGTGGTTGAGCTAAATTGATACTTTGCTGCTGTTTCCCCAGGGAAGGCTTTTTGTGCAGCTCAGGGTTTAACAGTTGACCTTATAGATACTTCTGGCTCTCTAGAGACCTGGTGCACCTGGGTTGTGTAGAAACTCTGATCTGGGCCCGAGTTTTCTCATCAAACTGCACCCCATGCAATTATGCATTCCTGACCAGTCTCCTCTGAGTGGTCCTGCGCTGATTGGGGGGCAGATTGGCTGTCCTTGCTGTGTCCCAATGTTCTCCCAGTGGGCCCGTCTCCCCCACTGCCTGTGCTCCAAACACTTCCCATGGGACGGGCCCTGCGCTGGTCCCTTGCGATGACTCACTGGCCTCTGAGTGGCTCCTTTTTTCAGTTGTTCTGGCTCCTCGCTCCTGCGTGGGTCCACGGGAACCCTATTAGTGGTTTTGCTGTCCTGGGGGCCGCCAAGGCTCTCTTCTCCCCTGCTGCCTCCAAGTAACTCCATCTGAAGGGCACAGCTACAGCTTCTGACGGCTCCTGCTCTATGTGCTCAGCAGCTCCAGCATTAAAGCAGCCACATCCCGAAATGCTCAGAGCAGTTTTTTCTTTCTCTCCTCATGGTTTCTCCCAGCTTCATGAACTCCGTAGGTCTCTCCTCCTCTTCCCCTGAGCTCCAGCGGCCCCATCTTGGCTGATGTTACATTTTTATAGTTGTAAATTGGTTGATTTATGGGAGAGAGTGATGCTGGGAATCGTCTATTCTGCCATCTTGACCAGAACCTCATTCATCTCAGTTTAATGCACTTAAGACGGACACCACCATATGCACAAATGGGCACTGATATACTCACAAGAGTGCTCAGCACCTTTGCCTTTCACCATAGAACAGCATATAAATGGATTAAAAATCCCTCCAGATGTGGAGACTACTGAAGATCCACTGACCTTACACGGATTCCAAGAAGAGAATGGGACGTCTGCAGATAAATGGATGTTCACACTGGGAATAGCTGGAATGGGCTGGAGGGGTGGAGGTGGGAAGGAACTATCAAAACCTGAAATAGGGGCCGGCCCGGTGGCGCACTGCTACAGTGCGCCGCTTGGGAAGTGCGG